CATAGCCACGTGTCAGAATGGCCTAGTCAAAGTCTGAAGGTGAATTCGGTTGAAAATCTTTGAACATTGAGGTTCACTGGCACTCCATCTAATCTGACAAGAGTTAAAAACGTAAATGGGTAGAAATTTCTATTTCTTAATGTTCAAAGTTGACATATCTCCAATAAAAGGCCAGAAAACTAGAAACATATTCCTTAAAGGGGCAGTATGATGATCCCCCCGGCCTCCAGCTCCTTCAGACTAGCCAGCAGAAATTAGCAAACACCTGGGGGAACTGCACGTTTGCTGATCTTATTATAGGAGCTACTTTTCAGGGCAACATTGGTAAAAATGTTGTTGGAGGTTAATGGAGGAGCCATGTTGTGGCGACTTCCTGATGGCGAAGTTTCAGAAAGAGCAGGCATTTTTAAAGCGACAGAGGCCCAATTTCAACGTGTTACATTACAAAGTAAAATTTCTTTGAAGTTTTTATTTCATTTATCTCGTTTTTTTTTAAACAACTGACATTGTTTGTACTGTAAATTGAAAAAGACATAACGCTGCTTCTTTTTAAAATTCAACGTAAAAGGTGCAGCTGCTCTGAGTGGCGTTCAAAGACTTAAATTCATGTGATGCATTTTAAAAAGCAGAAATTTAGAAGTTTCACCAGAAAAACGCAGCTGAAGGGCTTGAAATGCAGCAGAGGAAGCAGGAGGAACTAAATCTGAGTCTGAAATTGAGTCTGGTGTTGGTTATGAATGTTTAAAACCTCATTTATACTCACTGGCCGTATCTGAATTGTTTCTAATAACTGATTTTAAAAAAATTATATATTTTTACTTGTATTAAGAGGCTCCAAACAACAATATGTTTATGCAGATTTCCGAGACTCGATCACTGTTTTGGAACTTTAGAAACCGCAGCACGTCTTTTGAGAACCATGCAACCTTTTCATGCATCAGCCGTCAACTGCAGCTGATTGTCTAACGTCTCTTTATGCTACCCATTCAGCGCGGCTCAATTATGGCACTGTGCTCTCTTCAGAGAGCCTGACAGCTCCGAGGACTTGTTGGTTGATCCCCCCAGTATGTCTCTGAGGCTGTGCCGTATTTATAGCCTCTTCTGATCTGCAATCTCTGGCAGAGGCTGCCTCTCAGAGAGGGGAGAGTCATCCATCTCCTCTGCCCACGGTTTGACACTCATTTGCAATGCAGATATTTCGCCTCAGTTTTGGAGTTTTAAAATATAAATGAGCACAAGAAGTTCCGGAAAGGGTTACTATGAGAGGATGCTTGACGTTTTTTTTGTTTGTTTTTGCTAAAATACTGTAGGTATCATATGGAAAGACGCATAAATTTAATTGGATTTCTGATGCAGATGTTTTTCGTCCTAGTATCTATGTCAAAGCAGTCGATTTGACCTACTTTATCCACGTTTGTTAGATTATGGCAAGAGTGAGAAATCGGGCTTTCTTCTTTTGGGATACCGATTTGGGATGTTCTTACTCTGAAATTTGTCTTCGAATCAAAAATGGAAAATTGAAGTAGCAACATGCGCTACGTTTTAATGGCAAACCACGACATGAGCCTCTAATCCTAAAAGACTCCAGTGGATCAGAAACTGTGCATGCGTAAAGTATGCACAGTGAACCTCCGCCTGTTTGCAGTTCAGAATTTAAGTCGTTTGCAAATTTTTTTTTTGTGTGGACTGTAACTCCAAGCTATGCAAAAAAAGAGCCTATTGACGTAGTTTTCCATTGAGGACGTCTAAAGTAATCAAAAGGAAGTGAAGCTCGGGAAGATGAGGTACTTTGATGCAATGCTGGTTGGAACCAGTGAAGATCGACGTTACGTCAGCATTACAACTGTTTTTACTGAGGATGTCAATGCATGTTAGTATATATTTGTGTTTAAGCTATTAAAATGGAAGGTTTTAACCAATCTTTGAGGGCGTTTCGACTATTTGTGGTTTTAGCTACTCAATCCACTTGCAGTGAAAAATTGTTGACCCGAAGGAAGAATAATTTTGATGTTGGACGATAAATATATGTTCCTCAATATTATTATTGTACGGAAAGTGGCTAAAAGATGTTGCCTAACAACCCATTTCCTCTAAGATTGACTATTCTGATAGAAAATCAAGTTGAGATGATCTCCCGTATCGATAAACGCCTGTTTTTTTCTTCTGGTAACACTTTATTTGAAGGCGTGTGCACAGAAATCATGACAAGAAGAAGTCATTATGAATGTCTGCCTGTTGTCATGAAGTGTCATTCAGTAAATAAGGTGTGACTTTTTTTATTTTTTTTTCTAAATTGCCGCGTTTCCATCAGGCAAATCTATTGTCGGGATTCCAATTTGCACAAGCATATGGCCAAAGGAAACACAGATAATGCAGATTCCCTATCCTAACTCTGCCAAAAACACATCTCGGGCCAGCAGGAGACTGACAGAGAGGGGAATTATAAATGGAGATGAGCAGATGGAAAAACAAGGCATTCTGTCCTCGGTTCAGAAATGTAATTGTACCAGGATGAGCGATGTGCGGTGATTCTGGACAGGAACGCGCGAGTTCCTCTTCCCCTCATGCTAAGTACTGAACATTACTCAACGTCTGACTTGCTCCAAGAGTTTGGGGGCCTCTTACCTCTCATCCATGACCTGTCGTCTTCCAGAGAGATGTTAGTCGCACCAATGCGTGAAATTGTAAAATTGCTAATGACATTTCCCCCGCATAATGGGGTCTTCGGAAATCGTGCCACCATGTTCTGGTGCTTTGATTGAGAACTGCAGTCTGCAGGATGTGCGAGTTAGGAACGGCATGCCCGGGAGACACATCCCCCATCTCTTCAGTTTCTGTTTCGAGGACTGCCAGAGGTGCTTTATGTTGCTAATAAATTTAACTGGATGGATAACGAAGCCACTCGTGTCGTGTCCTTGGCTCGTCCTTGCTTCCCATCTATCGGAAAATCTCTGTACGCATCTTTTTTCGATGTTAAGTCAGAGGTATGTTCTGAGCACGCAACTCTGTGGGGACAAATGACTTCCAGATTTCTAAGCAAAATTGAATTACACAAGAATTTCTTGACGGTTTTATAGTCTTTCACACATAAGTATGAGACATGCACCCAAATGCTGCGTTTTGCAAATAGACAGAGAATCTTTTGTGTGTGAATGATCAAATAGAAAACATATGAATCGATATGATCGCTTACTAAATATAGCATCACAGTGCCAGTTTCTTCACCTAACCCAGTGATTCTTGGAAATTAAGTCAACTTCCTCGAGTTCAATTTCTTGTTGGTAATTTTTCCCCGTTTTCTTCAGTGCACATCAATGGAAAGATTTTGGAAATTTTTTCTTTTTGATTTTCTTTTATTTTTTGCTGCACAAGCATAACACAGTTGATTGACACCATGGTTTGTTCGATTTTTATACGGGTGGACTGACTGATTGACCTTTGACCTCTGGCGACATTTAACAATATCCTCAAAAAGATAGTGGCACCAGTAAAAAAAATTTTTTTTCATTTTTGAAAATCGTACACCTGTATTTCTATTTTACTTCTATGTTATTAAAACTGATCAGAACTTGTCATTCTGACATAGAAACTCCCACTGCTCAAGTCGGACCTGCAGGGGTCACGTATAGACGCCTAAAATATTAAATCAATAAGTAAATATATATACATATATTCTACCATCCAGCCTATATTTTGGTGTGTTGTGTGTGAAATTCCCACTTTACATGGTTCTGCAGACACTGAAAAGAGCTGGAAGAAGAAAGTTAGTGTCCAACATGCGTACATCACGAGTGGCACAAAACGCTCTTTGTTGGCCCAATTTTGTTTTGTGTAGTTTAGATGAAGGGGGGGCAAAGGTCGGATTCCCTCAGTAAAAAGACGGACTATAAAAGTTTCATTTATTCATATAATTAACTGCTGCTATTTCAGTAGCGGCACGTGACTCGGCGCACATTGGGAGACGAGTCGGTGCATGTTGTGTTTAGGCCCCTTCAGCAAGTCAGACGGTGCCGTACGGAAACATTCGGTCAGGCCGCTTGCACTTTTACACATTTTGTTAAAACTACAAACATGCATTTATTTCATCGTGACGCTGTGAAAGACCAACAGAGTGGCACATTAAGAAACATGTGGTGTGCAACACCCTGAATAAGTTCCAGTGCAATCAGTTGTCTTCAGAAGCCATGAAGTCACTAAACAGGGCCAACTTCTGTGCAGCAGAGGTCTGTTAAAGAACATTGAAGAGTAAGCACCATTTATCAATCCCAAGAGACAAAGCAGACAGGTCAATGATAGGGTTGCTGAGCAATTAAGAGAAAGTTTTAAGTTACTGAGCAATATTCCAAAATTTGGCTGTCCACCTACAAAGAATCAGCCGACATGCCTGCAGACATCCACAACAGTTTTTGGTTCAGTCGGTTCTCAAACCTGGGCTTCATCCCTGCACTTAAACTGTCTGGATTCATTAGAAACTTTCCTTAAAATCATTTTTGCTGTCGATCAAATGCTACATGTAGCAGAGAGTGTTACTTTGATTCCGGTATGTTGTGCTATTTGAAATGGACCTTAACACAGTAAGTAATTGTGTGTGTGTCAAATGTGAATCAGCTGGCATCAAGACAGAATATAAATGGCTTTCAAAACTGGAGAGCTTTCTAGTTTAAAAAAAAAAAGAGTAGAAGTCGGAGTTTAACATTTGGTAATCGAACAGTTTTAATCATTTCATGATGTTAAACAAATGTAGCACCGGATACGTTCAGTGATCCAAAATGGATCATTTGTACTGATTTTTTCTGCTCCTCCCACACACTGTTGTTACCAAGCAACATCAGCTTACGTCACAGGGGACTTTGATCTTTGGTGACAGCACCCAATTCCAGGATGCTCAATAGTAAAAAAAAAATTTCATCTCATTCTTGATTTGTTTCACTTCTAACAGAGTGACACGCGATTCCAGAAAACGATACTGTAAAACTGTCGAAAATCACTTTCCTGGCAAGATGTTTCAAAAACCAGGGAAAGCCATGAAAACGGACTTCTACGAGGCCGAAATACTGAAGTCCCTCGACGGACATTTTCCCAAATCGGTCGCCCACATCGACGAGCCTGCAAACGTGGACAGCATGTTGAACGAAGAAGCGTCTTCGGATTCGAACGCAGAGAAGATGTTCACAGCGGAAAACATTCCAGAAATTGTGAAACTATTCAAAGAGGCCGACACTGATGAAAGTGGAGGCCTGGACATGGACGAATTTTATGAGATGATGGCGCAAATAAACACAGATATCACAAAGGAGGAGGTCCGCGTCTTACACATGAAAATTGACACAAACTGCGATCGAACGGTGGATCTCGGAGAACTTCTGCACTATCTCCTGCAGAGAAATGAGCAAGCAGAGACTCTGGACTACAAGAACATACTTTTCCCATATGATTTCACGTACACACAGACTGACTGTCTGAAACCAATTGTGAAAATGATTTGCCGACCCTCCAATCTGAAAACCACCCAGGATTTCCGGGACTACTGCTTAGTGGAACCGATCAGATCTTACAAAAACTATAATTACATCACGGTCACAACAAATGGCACGCTGAAATACTGGTCGAATGACCTAAAGATATCAAAATGTATTCCCCTTCAAGAAAGAGAGACGACAACACCTGCATATCACCATACCCCCAAAATGCATGTTTTCGATGTGTTGTACATCAGCGATCTCAAAATGCTCGCTGTCTCAACGTCTGACAGAGAGATCTTATTCTATAATTGTGAGCACTTTTCTGATTTAACGAGAATCAAATTCTGCATCTTGGAGGAAGAGTTTACAACCATGGACTACTATTGTAATGGGAACAAGGGCATTTTTGCGTGTGGCGACTCAAGAGGATTTTTGTTTGTGTACGTCTCCTATTACATCCACGACAATGGCCTTTTCAACAAGAAGAAGTTCCAAAGAAGCTCTTTTCGACACTACCCAACTGTGACCGTCTCGTCTCTGCTGTCTTCCACCTGTGAAAACTTTGACAGTCTTAGGATTTTCATGTTTGATGACATTTGCACTCAAGTGCAATACATTCCATCTTTACAGTCTTTTACCGTGTGCGGTGCGACATCCAAATTCATGGCCGTCGTGGAGTGCATGTTTGACCAAGAGAGAAGCGAGCCTGCTGTCAACTCGCAGATCTATAGAAGCCCTGGGAACTACAGATACTACAAGTCCGTTGCGTATTCTCCTTGGTCCAGGTATTTCTTGACCGGTGGAATGTCTGGCGTTCTACGGGTGTGGTTTCCTCACAAAACCAAGTCATATGAACGTGAATTAATAGGACATAAGGAAACTGTCACCCATGTTGTGTACAATTCCATAGAGAAAATGTTTGTCACCATATCAGCAGACAAACAGATATGTTTTTGGACTGATGGAGACTGGAACCTCAAGCAGCGTATTATTCCCAGTGGCTTGATACCAACAGCCCCAATCACCAGTGTATGCTACAACATACACAACAATGAGTTTTATGTTGCTAACTCAGTTATTGGAAAATGTTTTGGAAGGGGAACCAATGTTTTCCATGAGACCTTGAAATCCCACCAAATGCCTTTGTGCAGTATGCTCTATCACGGGATTTATAAGCAAGTTATCTCTGTTTGCCAGAAAGGCATTGTGACGGTGTGGGATATCTTGACCGGAAAGGCTGTTATGGAGTTTGACCTTACACCAAGCAAGCAGAAGATTGCTGGAAACACATTCATGTCATTCGATGACGTCAACCGCAAACTGATCACTATTTCTTGTGACAGGTTAATAAAACATTGGAACTTTAACAGCGGAGAACAGCTGGAAACCCTAGAAGACACCTTGCCGAATGACGTGACCTGCATTGTCCTCATGAACGATGACATGTACATTTCCACAAAGGATTCCGCAAAAATCTTACAGCTGGATTCCAATGGGAAGATAAGAAATGAGTTTGAGCATTTTCTGTTGAGCGATATTTCCTCGATGGATCACCATGACGACAAATTGATTGCCGCATCCAGCAATGGCAATGTTCTCACGTGGGATTTGGAAACGTTCACTGCTTTGTACTATATCAACACAACAAACAACCCCAAAATACAAAGTCTTGAACTGTACCTTCGCCAGTTAACGCTTTCATATGATGTCTTGCTCGAGGCTACTCTGAAGCAAGGCGAAGAAAAAAGAGTTCTACTCGTAAAATCTCTGAAGAACAGAGAGGTTAGTGCTACAACAGGCACACTGCTGACAATAGGAGATCTTTACATTACGGCATGGTCAACGACAATAAACGGAGGACTGATAAGTAGGTTCAAGGCAGTCATACAAGATGGTGCTAAGATTACTTGCGTGTCACTTTCTGAAAGTGAAACAATTTTACTGACAGGTGATAGCTATGGAGTAGTTTGTTTGTATGATATTGAGGATTTTGGTCTTCAAACAAATGATGATCTGGAATATGAGACAATCAGTGGCTGGATATACCCTTCTCAACCAACTCCACTGATAGCCTCGTGGAAAGCCGGGACTTCTGAGTTGATAAGTGTTGCATGTGACCCTGCTTGCGAGAAAATAATTACAGCAGAGGTGGATTACAACGTGAAACTCTGGTCAAGCACTGGTACCTTTGTTGGCATCTTTGGAAAGGATCGATGGGTGAACATGGTTCCAAAACAAGTTCCGGCGGTAGAAGACATAGAGATAACTGGTCCAGAGAGTTTGCCACAAGAAGAAGAAAAAGCTTCAGATGGCATGGAGTTTGACTACATGATCTACAAACAACCGTTTTTGTTAACTTTAATACATTATCTTCAAGAGACAAAGTACATGCAATGTTTGACGAGGCCATTGCCGGAAAATTCTTCTCCTATTGACATTTCAGTTGAAGGTGCAATTGCTCAGTTTGCTAAAGTTAGGAAGGAATTGCTCTTCATGAAAAAACTGAAGCAAATGTACTATGAAGAATTCCGTGGCAATAAAATAAGATATCTGTCTGGACTTTTCAACGTGCCTATAGAGCCGGAAACATCCACAAAATCTCCAAGTGAAGACGAGGAGAAAAAAGCTGAACAACCTACGGATGAGGTCCAGGTGCAGCCTGAAGGTCTTGAAACCCAACAACCTCCACTTATCTCAGACATCACAGCAAGTGATGAGGTTGAAGAAGCGGAAACATCAGAAACATCTGAAGGTGATTATCCATTGGCTGGCTTTGACAAAACCCATGAAATCATCAAATTGTTAGAAAGCGAAGAATTACCGATATTATCAGGCGAAAAGGAAGAGGCGAAGTCATCTTGGCCTATGGAATTATTACAAGAGGCCCAGACTGAGCCGCCAACAGATGAAACGGAAAGTCAGGGCCTTTTGGAAAAGCTGCCTATGAAGAAAACAAACCTTGATAAACTACTAGATAAACTGCTAGCATTGCCACCACAGATCCAAGAAAGGCCTCGGTTGAGTCGGTCAGAAAGTGTAAGGAAGAGCATATTTGAAAAGCAGTTGAAAAGTGATGATATTGAAACTCCAGGTGTCATTTTGTCATTATCAGAGAGATTAAAAATACTTAAGTCAATCCAGGAACAATTTGACTTACTTGAACCTGAAGAGTCTGTAATTGAGGAGGTTAAAACACCTGAAATGCCCTCTCCACCATTACCACAAATAAAAATGGTAAGGTTCACAGATCCACTTGAGCAGCCAAAACTTGCCGAGTCCCTTAGACATAAGGCTGGGCAAAAAAAAAGTGTTCTGAGAAATGCGGACGAAGTAGAACAAATGCCTGTACCTCCAGCAAAGACCCCAGAGGAGCTGCTGCCTTCAGTTGTTCCATTCCACGAAAGCCGATTTATGCAGCTAGATCGAGAGAAGCTTGACAAGCATCCCATCAGTGATTCGAAAATGTTTGGAGTTGGTCCATCTCCGCAGACGTCAGTCACTAAAATCGATCTTATGAGTAGAGCAGAAAGGAAGCGACAAAAAGAATCAATCACCGAAAGGATTAAAGCCCTACATGATGGCCTACCCTTTAGACCTGTGACGACACAAGCCGAAAGTCAGATTAAAGCAATGAGAAAGACCTCTCGTACTCCTTCATTAACGCCACCATCCAAAAAGGCTTCTTTAATCCCAACACAGCCACCCAAGCTGAGCTTGACTCCTGCAAGTCAAGCTCAGCCATTCAGCATCTCAAGACTAATCATGAGCAGATATATGGATGAGAAGGAAACGATAGTCGAACCATCAACTTTAATGAAGGTGGAGCCCATGAAGCCAACAACGGCCCCCGAAGGCCCTTCCAAGGTGGCAACCACGCAGAGAGGCAGAAGAGGCTCTGTGTCTGAGGTGGAAACAAAAGTTCAACCAAAAACGGCTGAGAGCGAAGAAAAGCCACAGCCTGCTCCTGTGTCCAAGCGTAAAAAATCCAAGTGCTCAAGAGGACATATACACGAAGACGACGAGATTTGTATTGAAGAATCGCCTTTAAAAATGCTACAGCTCTCAGACAGCGACGACGAGTTGCATCCTCCACAGAAACCTGCGGCCCAAGAACAGAAGAAAAGAAGACGGTCCACAAAAGTGTCTGTTCAGGAGAAGAGAAAATCTGTTCAAGCACAGGCGTCACCAACATCCAAACCTTTGGAAAAGCCAGAGCGCCCGCAGGTTAAACTGAAGCCGCCTACTCCCCCGACTCGATCAGCCACGGCGTTTGAGGTGGCGAGAATACGCAGGTGCAGATTCGGACATTTGTACGCAGTTGAAAAACGTCTTCCAGTTTTGCCGCCAATAACGAGAAAGGCATCCCGTTCATCGACTCAACAACGGCCACGTTCATCGTTGTCTTCTGAAAGAAAAGCTTTCCTGATAGATCATTCACACAAATGCATCAGTGAAGCCATGCACGCGAAGAGAACAAATTTTCTTTTATTACCACCAATATCAGAAAAGGCGGCGTCCCCTGCAGATCAAATGGAGGTGAGCGACAGGGACGAACTCCAACGGAGACCTGAGGTGTCGGAAGATGTGGAGACCACCCCAGATTCAGAACCACAAGCTCTGGAGAAAACCGAGGAGGTTCACAAACAAATTAAACATGTACACTTTGAACCAGAGTAGAGTCTTCTGAACAGAAAAAAAGAACAGAATTGCATTTGGTCGGCTTTAGGAATTTACCAATTCAATACACTGTGTGTGTTGTCTTCTGGTCCATCATTTGGGGTTTTCTCCGGGCGCCCCGGTCTCCCCTCCACCCCAAAAAACCCTGTTTCCATATAAAGACTAACTTTGAAGTGTAAAGGAGTTTATCTTGCTCTTGGCCAATATCAAAATTGGCTTGTGAATGCGGTCATTCGGTAGATGATGGCACTTTTAATGCAAAGTTGGCTCTTTTGATTGACTTTTAATATAGGTTTTAATGCAACTTTGCATAAAAACGTAATTATTTACCAACTGATGCTAAGTCGACACTTTTAATGCACTTTTACACCAATTTTTATGCAAATTTGCATTAAATTTAAAAGTTTGTCAGATTTCTCTGAGTTCTATGTTACATTATATTATATTATATTGATTGTGTCTATTGTATGTATGTGTTTGTATGTATATTTTACACGTGTATTACATAAATATATTTAAGTGAATGTATCTAAATAAAAAAAACATTTCATACTTGCTTTTATTTGCAGTTATTTCATATCTGTGGGGTGATTTGTGAACTACAGCAATTTTTGCTGTAGTTCACATTTATTCAAAAACCCTCTAAATCAGACACTGCTACATTATGTTCTGTTAAAATATAATAATTCAACTATTTCCAGACGAGGCTGAGCCCTTAATATTTCAGGACCAACATGTCTGGGACCTTTAATCAATGTAACAGTGACACAATACAAAGCAAAAAATGCCATTAGGCCGAGGTTATTAGTCACTTCAGCCATTAAATATCAAAAAGCTATTTTGAATCTTACAGGCAGACATGGAAAAATAAACAATAGAATGTTTTGCTGACTCTTCATGACCTTCTCCTTGATATTTACCAAGCTTTCAAAGGCTGTGACCACTTATGGGGACCAAAGTGTGACCTAATATGGTGTGTTTTTGTTTTTGGGGGGTTAAGAAAATAGCATTCCCTTCTCCTTACTGTGCAATCTCTTATATTTACATATTTGACCTTTGTGTCAATATGCATGCTTCCAATAACTTACCGCTGGTTGCCGATGAGATATTTCTAATCTTTTCTCTGTACTACAGAAACGAATGAAAGACTTTGCAATGACCTGGTAGCGTGTGTGTAAGTGTGTTTTAGCATTTCTCACCTTGTAAGCCCCCTTTTTTTCCAACAAATACTTCACGAAACCTGGACCCCATAAGAGGGGCAGTTTTTGGTAGAGCTGGGCGGATCAATCCAAAATACAGATAATATCAATACCAAGTTGATATCAGTATCAGTATCAATACTTTAGTTTATACTTCTACTTCAAAATCAATTTTGTTTTTATTTGCTTTGATATATATATATATATATATATATATATATATATATAATATATTATATATATATATATATATATATATATATATATATTAGGAAAAAATGCTCATGGATCTACTTTGTTTTTCTTTTGTTTCTATTTGTCATGTTAATATGTTCTTAAAGTATTTCGTAGTCTATAAAGCCTATAAATTTTGTCCAAATTCTGTTCTAGGTTTTAACAAATTCATTCAAAGGAAGGCTCTCACCCCCAAGAAAACACCTAAACGTCAGAAGTTTGATTTGTCAAACTTGATTCAAAGGTATTTATTTCATATTGGCATCAATGACATTGGCCCTGTATTTACTTTACCAAAACATGAAGACTGAATGCAAATTTAGTTTGGGTTAGACTATGTAAATGAATGAAAAATGAATAGAAGTCATTGTAAAGTTCTTGTAAAGATATTATTTACAATGGTCAAGAAATATAAAAGGCAATCCATTATTTATAATGGATATAATGGATTAAATGGTAATCCATCTGATGGATTACCATTTATATTTCTGGACTATTTCAAGAAATGTGTGTTTCTGATCTTGTATTTGATGTAATGTAAGGACCATTTTCCCAACTAAAGTGATCCGGGCCCCATAAGACGAAGTTTTGTTTTAGGATTAGGGATTAGAGTGTGAATGGAGTTCAGGTTAGGTTTTAAAAATAAGTGAAAAATGAATAGAAGCCAAGGCAAAGTCCTTGTGACAATAGAAAGACATACAATGTGTGTGTGACTGTGTGTGTGGAAAGGAGCTTCAGATAATTTGCATATATTGTCAATTAACCTTCAGACGATATAAATGAATGATTATAGAAAAAAAGTCTCGTGCTGCCAAAAGCTTCACTCTGTTAAAATGGCAAGCAGAGACGGAGAGCTCCTTCTCTAGGGCGGCGACACGTTCACTAAACCCCCTCATCTCTGATTGATGGTAGTTGCTGGTGTCCCGGTCATTCACCCAGTGGATAAAACTGGATCAATGTGGCAGCCATGGTATTTTACGATGCCAATAAGATGCTCTCTTAGTTTCTTTCTCTGCTATAAACGGAGCTGCTGGGGTAATGGACTAGGCAGGTACTTGTAAAGTCAGAACAACCCTCGCTGTAAAGAAATGGGATTCCAGTGTGCCTCTCCCTTCAGAGATGAGTGGTGCTTTTCAGGAGTCGTTTCCACTGACCTAAAAATGGAGCCCTTCTCCAGCCCTGCAACATCCCTCATCACACATTATAAATAATGGATTACCTTCTATATTTTTTGACTATTTCAATATCAAATGTGGGTTTCAGTGTTTATTCTGGTCATGGTGTGAAGAGCTTTTCTCAGTTTGAGGTGAGCTTGGGATCTTTGCTGGATGCCCCCCCCATCTCCTCTGCCCGTTTCCTGTCTGATAACTGCAAAAAAGGCCACCAGTGCTATACCAAGACATGCCCAAGTGTGCAGCTTATGCACCAGATAGGTTGTTGTTGGTGTGACGAGGTGCTTGTGACACCAACAATACCATATCACTGCACCCAGTGGTAGATGTGAGCGCATACACACCACTGCCACAAGATCTGTGCTAAAACGACGCAAATAACGCAGCAATGATCCAGAAACAACATTACCAAATCTAGTTCACTCTCATATTTTGATTTTGGTGCCATCGGCCATCGTTTCTAAACTGTTGCCTCTGAGAGCAATATCAACAGTTTAAGAAAAGCTACATATCCATCTAGATATTACTAGCTAGCTATCTGGCTAGTTAGCTACCCAGCTAGGTAGATATCTAACTGAGCAGTTAGCCATCTGTCTAGCTTTTAGCAATGCAGCTTGCTATCTAGCTGTCTGTCTAGCTTTTAGCAATGTAGCTTGCTATTTAGCTATCTGTAAAGCTTTTAGCAATGCAGCTTGCTATCTAGCTATCTGTCTAGCTTTTAGCAATGTAGCTTGCTATATAGCTATCTGTCTAGCTTTTAGCAATGTATCTTGCTATCTAGCTACCTGTCAAGCTTTTAGCAATGTAGCTTGCTATCTAGCTATCTGTCTAGCTTTTAGCACTGGAGCTAGCTATCGAGCTATCTGTCTAGCTTTTAGTAATGTAGCTTGCTATCTAGCTATCTGTCGAGCTTTTAGCAATGTAGCTTTCTATCTAGCTATCTGTCGAGCTTTTAGCAATGTAGCTTGCTATCTAGCTATCTGTCTAGCTTTTATTAATGTAGCTTGCTATCTAGCTATCTGTCTAGCTTTTAGCAATGTAGCTTTCTATCTAGCTATCTGTCGAGCTTTTAGCAATGTAGCTTGCTATCTAGCTATCTGTCTAGCTTTTAGCAATGTAGCTTGCTATCTAGCTATCTGTCGAGCTTTTAGCAATGTAGCTTGCTATCTAGCTATCTGTCTAGCTTTTAGCAATGTAGCTTGCTATCTAGCTATCTGTCGAGCTTTTAGCAATGTAGCTTGCTATCTAGCTATCTGTCGAGCTTTTAGCAATGTAGCTTGCTATCTAGCTATCTGTCTAGCATCTTCGGATGTCCTTTATTGGATATATTTTTTTATGAAACAGCCCAAGCATAGAGTGTGGCAAAACCTTCCAATAAAAAATATCAGTAAAAAATGTTCTGCCCTTCATGTCTTGTCTGGTTTAATTATTATGAGGTGATGTAGACGCCTGGTGTAGTTCTGCCCCAGAGACTGCCATGCAGCGTTGATGAGGTTCTGATAAGAATTGCACTCTTCCTGACACCTGCCCTGCGCTCCCTTCTATTTTATTTACAATGTAGCACACAATTTCCTGCCCCCCGCACCACCTGACATTCCCCAAGTCAAATGCAAATATAAATGCTCTGAAAAATAGGTTTGCATTTTGAAATGATCCGAGGAGAGAAAACGGCAAGGCAGTTGTTTTCAGCTCGTCCTGCAGGATGGCTTCAGGAAAGCAAGCAGTCTGTTAGACAGTCAGCTCGGTGCAGCAGACCCACACTGGTGTAATTCAATGAGCATACAAATGGTTTAATAATATCACTGTCTTCGGATGGAAGAAATACTTTTGGGAAGTGGGGGTGGGATATAAACCAAACAAAATTCTTCTCTAGCAGAGATTTTATTGGCAAAAAAATACCCTAAGATGTATTATGTTGTTTTTAATTGGAAGTTACCATCGTTCTGCATTTGTATTCATCTCCAGTGAGCCCATATCTTCAAAGTCTAAACCTCCAACTCAGAGGGATCCATGCTCGTTTGCAACCTCTGCGTCCTGTTGCTTACATATGTAGCGTCAATATCTGCGCTTGTCATGGAAACCGCCCGTTTTTATTTAGTTTGGTTAATGGAAACGCTTTCCTCAATTCCAGTTTTTGTTATTTTCTTAGTTTCAGCTAACTATAATAAGTTTGATGCACTCCAGCAAAAAAAAAAAAAAAAAAAATTTTCCTGAACATTCATCCTTCTCGCAACATCGGTTTAAAACTTGCCTCAGTTGTCGCGGTTTTGCCAGTTGCTTACACTGGAGCACCGATCGATTGAGTGTTGACTCGTGTGGCGTGGCGAGGCAGCCTCATTAACTCGCCACACATTTACTTTGGTGTCACCCGCCATCAAAGCCCAGCGCACACTGCAGCTCCGCCGTCTTAGATGGCCGTGCAGCTAATCAGTTGCAGTTCATCTTGGCTCCGCGCCCCCGACTGGACCTGCTGGTTTACCCCCCAACACCTCCACTCCTTCGAGGAGCATCTCTACTCATTATAGTGACAACTGATAATAGGGAGATGGAGTGAAAGGGAAGGAGGGAAAGGGGGAGTCATTC